GACACGGGGACCGCCGTAGATGACGCAGGGGTAGTCACGGGGAGGCTCGGAAGTGGTGGTTGTTGTGAAGCCTGTGCTTGTGAAAGATGTGAAGTCTGTTGTGCTGCGGTCGCTTGTGGACTCCTCGGTGGTTGAGTCTTGGGTTGTGGTGTCTGAGGTCTCATCACGTGTCTTGGTGACGAGAGTGCTGGGGAACGAGGTCATAGCGGTAGTGGTTTCCTCGGTGGTGCTTGTCTGCTCAGCACTCGTCTCCTCGGTAGTCTGAGTCTCCGACTGGGTAGTTGTCTCGGCGCTACTCGTCTCAGTTGTAGATGCCTCAGAAGTGGCGGTCCCCGTCGTAGACACACCAGTACCGCCAGTCATTAGAGCGCACTTAGGCATAGGAAGCGTAAATACAGACATACAGCCCAGTTCAGGAACCTGAGCCTCATTGAGCTCCTCCTCAACATCACCGGAGCCAGAATCCTCAAAGTACTCGTAGTAGACCGAAGGACCAGGCTCCAAGGTGCCGGTAGTAGTAGCCGTCTCGGTAGTTTCGGTAGAAGATGCGATCTCAGTCGTAGTAGACGCTTCGGCGGTAGTGGTCTCAGCGGCGGTCGAAGTCTCGTGGGCAGTAGTGGAAACCTCCTCAGTGGTCTTCTCAGCACTGGAGACTTGAGTACTCTTCTCTTCTTCTTCCTTGGTCGACTGCTCATCCTCATCCTCGTCCTCATCATCCTTGTCGTCGTCCTTCTTCGCATCATCGAGATCATTCTTGACCTGAGACGCAGCAGATGACACAGCAGCAGCGGTAGCAGCACCAGGGGTAGAGATAGCCCCAGTGAGAACCCCAGCGGCTTTGCCAAGAGAATCAGTAAGCGCTCCAAAGCCGGCAGTGCCGGCGCCGAGAAGTCCAAGTAGAGCTAGAGCGCCGTCGGTATCATCCTTGGCCTTCTCTGCGTTCTCCTTGGTAGGGTTCTTGGTGTACTCAGACATGGACTTGTAAGCTTGGTCCGCAGCTTCCTTGGCCTCGTCGGTCTTCTGAGGCGGCGCGGCATCGGTTTGGCTGGGACTGGGAGCCTGGGTCACAGGGGGCTTGTCTTCCTCGTCGTCTGGAGAGGATGGAGATGGCTCAGAGTCATCCTCAGCCTTGGTGGTGGGCTCGGGATCAGCGGGAACCTCGCTGGTTGACTCGGGGGAAGGGTTGGAGGTGGGCTCGACTGGAGCAGGCTCAGCAGTAGAAGTCTCAGCCTTGGGCTCAGTGGTAGGCTGGACTTCCAACTGGCTCTCAGTGGTGGGCTCGACGGGGACTTCAGCATTTGAAGTAGTCGATGGCTCAGTAGGGACGTCGACATTGGACTCCGTAGTAGGTTGAGTGGCAACTTGACTATCCGTAGATAGCTCGACAGGCGCGTCGCTCTGTGTCGTTGGCTCCGGCAGAGCTTCAACAGAGGTTTCACTGCTAGGCTGAACGGGTACTTGAGTCTCAGTAGTGGGCTGAGCAACCTCCACGGGAGTTGTAGGCTCAGCAGTAGCCTGTCCCTCAGTGGTAGAGTCAATGGGAGCTTGGAAAGAAGCCTCAGTAGAGGGCTCAATGGGGGCAGTCAACTCAGTTGAAGGTTGGATGGGGGCTCCAGTTTCAATTGAGGTGTCGACTGGGGCTGGGAAAGAAGCTTCAGTAGAAGATTCGGGGGGAGCGAAAGAATCGGATGAAGGTTGAATAGGCGCGCCAGTCTCAGTGCCGGGGGCAACCGCAGCCGAAGATTCAGCGGTGGGAGCCCCCATCTCGACCGAAGGTTCAACCTGAGGTGTCGTCTCAGTGTTTGGGAAGATGGGAAACTTGTTCTCAGTTGTCGGCAACACTGGAGCCTGAGTCTCAGTGGTAGGCTCAACTGGAGCCGCAGAGTCCGTAGACACTTCGATGACAACCTCCGAAGAAGTCACAGGAAGGCCGGCATCAACGTGGGTAGTTGTCTCATCAACATTGATCTCGGGAGCTGCCGCACTAGAAGTAGCTTCAACAGCATTATCCGGCTCCGTAGCAAGACCTGTCGTAGTATCAACAGGCGCCAGCGCAGGATTCTGAGCAAGAACAAACAACGGAGTAAAGACTCCAAAAACGAAAGACTTTTTCATAATGAATGTAAGGCAGCAAGATACTGCTCGAAAAGAAAGACAAAGAGTGTTACCGAGACTCACAGTTCAACGGGGGCCCTGATTATATCCATCCCGCCATCCCATCTTTCGCAAATCTTGTTCAAAATCGCGTAGGATCTCTAACCATGTATCGTTTCGCATGATTAATTTCCAAGGCTGAGGTGTAATTCTCCGAAATTACCGGTAGTTGATCGCGGTTCTTAGGGCGTTTCATGATATGGCTAAGGCTGACACGAAAAGCTTGACAGGTTGACAGAAAAGAGTCGTGGTGTTTTACGTGTAGAAGTGACTGGGTTATTTGGCCGCTTATGCAAGTTAAGATGAATACTGGGCTGAGTCGGGTTCCTGATCCTTCAACGGGCTGGGTTCCACTAATCCTTCCAGCGTCGTAGCGTAGGATCTAATGAATGATTATCGCAATTACAGATCCCATGCGATCGATTGGGCGATACACGATGGATATGTTTTACCCAGATTTCCCTATATCTTTTTACTGCCCTCATTTGTTATCTTTGTCCCGTTCACTGGATCGCTTGCCTTTATCCAATTCACTCGTTTGTCTTCACACATTCTTTTAGTCGCTCTTTTGACGCTTCACATTCGTTACAATCACCATGACACGCTGGTTATCTGCTGTAATCGCAGCTCTGTCTTTTGCTGGTGTCTCTGCCAAAATTCAGTGGGATCCCGTCGGAAACACCTGCGACCCTCTCGCCGGAAAAGCCGGCGCGCCTACACTCGACGATGCTGTCAACAAGGTCTGGCAAGAGATCGAAGGCATGGCATCCAATGCTTTGCAGTCTATGAACGACATCGATTCCGGCGCTTTGACCAAAGACAGTGATGCTTGGGAGTATCTGAGGGTCGTTGGAACTTATGACACGTTCTTTGATGTGCAGCATGCAGACGGATTTTCTAGGTGGAATTCAGTCAAGGGTATGTCTCGTTTTCTCTGGTTTTGTCTCCCATACTGACGGGAGTAGATACTCTGGTATTGATGGCCAAGGCTTCTTCGAGACAGAATGTATACATCATGTGCGATGATGCATACATGTATGCAACCGATCCCAACACGGGCGATGTTCACTGGCGTAAGTCTGAACCCTCTTTCAACTTCCACAAATTTGCTAATGTCTTCCGCAGAGCTACCTAGTGATCAGAGCAGAGTCCTCAACCTGGGTCCCGACCAACTTCAATGCTCAGCCAACAAGCAAGGAAAGGATCTAATCGGTTACCGCTACGGTTGGGACGGCTCTGATGCCGACCACATGACTTACGTCATCCTTTGCGCCAACTATCAGCTTCAAAATGTTTATCTCGACGAGTTCACTATTCAAAGCGGAAAGTCTCTAGACGACTTTAAGACTTTTACCACTACTCTCTTCCACGAGTTCCTCCACGTCTGGCTTCCCGGAAGTAAGTCAAACGTCTATTATCTCTTTGAAAGAATCATACTGACTGCCTTTAGTGAGAGCCGATATGAGTGGTGGCGTGGCAGCTGGAGGCGAACGATACGGTGTTCAAGGAACCAAGGAAGTTCGAAGTCTCTATGCGAATGAGAACCCCGACTCTGTTACTCTTTTTGCTTTGGCACTCTTCTCGAAGGACTTTTACTGGATGACTACTACTGCTGAGACAAAGCAAGAGGTGTGGAACAGATTCCAATCTGATGCGAACGGACAGGGTATTATCAACGCTATGAAGTTGACTCAGCCTTGATTATGCAGATTATCTTCAAGGGACCCCTCATAGTTTGAATATTCGAATTCTATTTATTAATTGTCCATTTCTTCATATGTCATTGTGATGGAGATAGTGGCCATTGAAAAGGTTGTCTTCTGAGTGTTAGGGTGACAGAATGAATAGCCCGAAAGTGGGTCCACATTCATACCAAGTGACTGAATTATTGCGCTCCGATACCCTTATTATGAGCTCTGTTTCACATATAGCTAAGCATAAGACCAAAGTCTTCACCAACGCGTCTGTGAGTGTGCACGGGCAACGGAAATGACAGGTAAACAGCACTGATCAGTTGTGTTAGTCATCATCTTCAAGGATATATGGACAGATAAATCCTATCACGTACCCACGCCAAATCTTTCAGTTTCCACCAGTATCCTCCACTCCAACAACAGAACAGACGATCCTTTCCAAGTCCATGAATCACAAACGCAACTCAACGATGGCTACTCAAGCTTCCAATTCTGCTCCTTATGAGGGCACTGAAGTCATCACCTTCACCTTCTATGATCCTTCGCAGCGGGATTCTCTCTCTGACGAGAACACCGAGCCCGGAAGAATCTTTGCTACCACCCTCCGTGTTTATCTTGAGAATGAACACACTGGCACCGTCTGGTGGGCTACTGTTCACGATTCTCTCACCAAGACCAAGCTCTTCATCGGTACATGATATTACGCGTCTTCGCCGATCTGGCTCTAACAAATCTGCAGATTGGAAGACTCTTGCTGGCAAGGACGAGTTTGAAAACACTGCTCAGGCGACTCTTCTCGCCAACAACTGGAAGACTATTACTTCGGCTCCCGTCACGAAGGAGACTTTTAAATTCAACCCTCCCAACGCCGTGGCTCGACAGGCCGCTCTCTCCAGCACCTACGAAACAGTCTCCGTCTGCTTCACCTTCCGCTTCAACTCTGCCATCCACGCCGAGCAGCTTGACGGAGCATTCCAGGAGCTCAACCACGCCATCATGCTGAGCCCCGGCGCCGTCGTCGCCAGCTACTCCATCGGCGGCTGGAGCGTTGACCGCACTACCTACTGCGCTTGCTACCGCTACCTCAACGCCAAGGCCATGAGGAACTTTGTCCACGGCGAGACCAAGGTTAGAGACCTTGTTGGAGAGCTTGAGGCTCGTGCTTCTGGATTTCAGCTGGATTTCATGCAGACAAAGGCTTTTGAGCAGGGATGGCAGGGGTCTGTGTTGAAGACTGTGCCTGATAACCCTGTCCTTTCCGGTTTCATGTCCGAGATGCAAGATCTCTTCAGTGGTATCGATGGTTCCACACTGCGTGGCGAGAACTGAAGTTTATGATGAAGGAAGGTTTCATGGTCTTTTTTGTAAGCATCTCTGCGCTCAGTTGGACACTGAGTTAGACAGAGGGTAACAGCATGCGGGATATGCATATAGCGAGGATACCACAAGAGTATATGTGGAAATTTGTAAGAATATGAGAGCTAATGGATATTTTTTGTTATTTTAACACTCACTGTTTCCCCGTGCTCAACTCGATCGTCTTGCGATTTTGATTGATGGCCTGCCAGTACAATCGACACCGCGGTATCAGCACCTACTTTCTGGTTAAACCCTCAAGCTTCTGGTTGCCATCAACGACTTCATACCAGTTCGACTGACCAGGCTTTAGACTCCCCCGGCATCACTTCTCTGGGTCTTGACGGCCTCAGCTTCAACATATCAAGCACGACTAGCCATGGGCTTAGATAGAAATAAATCAGCGACCCACGATAGCCCTGCAGATCCAGAACCTCCATGTCACCCTCAGCGAAAGATACTATGCCCACAAGAGCGAGAGAAACAAAGGCCGCCACAGTCTAGAGAAGTTTGAAGACACATTGAGCGAAGGGCAATTCCCGCGGTAGCCAATCTACGCATGCCAGCACTCTTACTCGACCCAATCAGCCAGTACATAAGAGCCTCATGTGGCCCTCCATAGAAGAATTAATCGCTAACAGTATAGGAAACGAAATACTTTGACCATTATGATAGTTTATACTAGAATTTAGATTACTTTATTTTCATACACTAATATTTAGACAGTCCTTCTAGCTAAGGTTTTTTTTTTTTTTTT